TGCAGCTACCGTGTCAATCCGTCTCCTTGCCCGTCCACAATACCAAGTATGATGTCCTTCTCCAGGGACAAAATCTCTCTCCTGACTAAAGTCCAAAGTATATAACATGAAGCACTGCCATCCTGGTCTCTAAGGAGCACTCTGGCCTTACTTCATCCACAACAGATCAATTTGCCCTTTCAGCAGTCCCAGGTACTTTCAAGACTCTTCAACAGCATTACGATTCAAATGCATCGAATAGTCCGTCTTCAGTCTTATTCAGTATCCAAATTTCACATGCATCTGAGGCAATGGCTCAGGCACAAGGTCTGGCTCAGGTGCATCTTAGTCCTCAAAGTAACATCCTTTCTCTTCAATGCTCTAAAAAGGACTTGTGTAGCAGATTTACCCAGTGCAATATGTCTTTTGATCTCTTGACTACTGCTTCCATCAGCATTGATTGTGGATCCAAGTGAGACAAAATCCTTGACGACTTCCACCTTTTCTACATTTATCATGATATTACCTATTGGTCCAGCTATGAGGATTTTGATCTTCATTACATTGAGTTGCCATCCATCCAGAAGGCAACAATTCTTTATCTTCATCAGCAAGTGCTTCATATCCTCCTCACTTTCCACAAGCAAGGTTGTGTCATCTGCATATCACAGGTTCTTAATAAGCCTTCCACCAATCCAGATGCCAGATTCTTCTTTATATAAACCAGATTCTCTAATTATCTGCCCAGCATTCGGACTGAAAAAGGATAGTGAGAGAATAATACAACCCCGAAGCACACCTTTTCTGATTTTTTTTTTCACCTTTTCTGATTTTAAACCATGTAGTATTCCCTTTTCTGTTCACACAACTGCTTCTTGATCCAGAATGAGCACCTTGAAATGTTCTGGAATCCCTGTTCTTCTCCAGGTTATCCATACAAAAGAATGCCTTGGCACAGTCAATAAAACACAAGTAAATATCATTCTGATATTCTCTATTATGAGCCAAGATCCATCTGACATCAGCAATGATAGCCCTTGTTCCACGTCCTCTTCTGATTCTGGCCTGAACTTCTGGCAGTACTTTCTCAATGGTGGATGATCTTAAGCAAAAATGTCCTTGTACAAGGTATCAATGATATTGTTCTATAATCTGAGCATTCTGTTAGGTCACCTCTCTCTGGAATGGGCACAAATATGGATCTCGTCTAGTCAGTTGGCCAAATCGCTGTCTTCTAAATTTCATGGCATGGATGAGTGAGTATTCCCAGTGCTTCCTCCTCGGCTTGCTCAAACACTTCCATGGGTATTCCATCAATTCCTGGGGCCTTTTGTTTTTAACCCAGAGAGGTAAAACTAGAGGACACTAAGACACTACAACGACAAGACCTTGGGCGGTTATTTAACCTCTGTCCTCTAAGGCTAATGTTCCAAGCTGTATGAGGGGTCTCATATTCCCCAAGAAGGGTATCTAAAAGGAAAAGAACATCCCAAAATACTTCCACCAAGTCAACTAATGCCCAGCAGCCCTATGTAGAGTTTCTGAAACAAACGCTCTATGAGAGCTGACAGCCTCATCTTTCTCCCATGGAGCGGCAGATGGTTTTGAACCACTGTAGTTAGCAGCTCAACCATCAGCCCACACATTGCCACCACTGCTCCTTAGAAAAGATATTGAAAAATGTTTAATCAAATTCACTGCCATCAAGTGGATTCTGACTCATACTGACCCTACAGCACAGTGCCGCACTGGCCTGCTGGGTTTCCAAGGGTGTGAGTTTTTACTGAAGGATAAAACCTCATTTGTGTCCATGGAGTGACTGGTGGATTTGAACTACTAAACTTGCACAGAACCACTACACCACCAAAGCTCCTTTAAAAAGATTATTACTGAGGATTAAATGGGGCAATATAGGCAAGGTATAAAATGTTGTCTTCTCAGCTATATGGCAACCGCTTTTTTTTTTAAATCAATTTATTGGGGGCTCGTACAACTCTTATCACAATCCATCCATCCATCCATGTGTCATCATTGTTTTCAAAGCATTTTCCTTTTTTTTTTTTTGTGGAAGGCCACTGACTTTATTAATTTAAAAAACTTCACAAGGCCAAGGGCCGTTCTACCAAAAAGGAGCCAAATGGCCTAAAACAGACCAGAGAGGTAAAGGTGAGCGCGGAGGTCGGGCCAGGAAAGCTGGTCACTGTGACCATGGACCTGGCAGGGGACGGGGACTCGAAGGAAGGAAGGGGAACTCATGCGAGAGTGAGAATTCCGAGGGGTGAGAACTCCCGAAGGCCCTGGAGCCATTGGACGTGAACGGGACACAGCAAGCTTCTCCTTTGCAGAGGACAGGGAACAGTGCCTGCCCAGCCGCACCTCCGGAGAGTCTGGGCTGGGACCTGGGGGCTCCCCAGACAGCATCCCAAGAAGGTGTCGCGAGGCACCCAAAGCACTTC